AGGGGATGGGCAATAAGAGTGATGGGAAGACTTTGTCAATAGTTGGACAGTGTTGAGGGAATTATTTGTTTAGCAGAGTGATGGCATTCGGAAAAAAACAAAGTTACAGCCATACAGTCACAGGTGGGAAGGGATGGGGCTATCAGGAATGATGAGAAGATTAATAGTAATAGTAGTGCAGACTTTGTCAATAGTTGGTCAGTGCTCAGGGAATTATTTGTTTAGCAGAGTGATGGCGTTCGGGGAAAAACTGTCCTTGTGTCTAGTTGTGTTTGAGCTCGGGGAGGCCAGGGGGGACAGCCCAACATCACTCGTGTCGGGGACATCTGTGGTGGCCCAGGTGCTCTGCCAGCAAAAACGGGCTCCTGGGCTCTGTTTTCGGCTGCAATGGCTTCCTACAGCCCTCTGCCAGTGAAAATGGAGCCCTCCCAACCTCCATTTTTGTTGGTAGAGGCAATAGCTGTTTCCAGGATGGCGGGGCTTGAATTTGACACCCCCGATGTACATCAACATTACACTGAATCTTAGGGCATGTAAAATTTCCAATTTCCAAACATTAGGGGTGCTCAAAAGTTGTGACATGCCTTGGCAATTGTAAAAGATATTTTGGTTATAAGGTAAAGGTTCCCCTCGCACATACGTGCTTGTCGTTTCTGGCTCTAGGGGGCGCTGCTCATCTCTGTTACAAAGCCGAAGAGCCAGCGCTGTCCAGAGACGTCTCCATGGTCATGTGGCCGGCATGACTAAACACTGAAGGCATCACAGAACGCTGTTACCTTCCCACCAAAGGGAACTATTTTTCTACTTGCATTTTCACATGCTTTTGAACTGCTAGGTTGGCAGAAGCCGGGACAAGTAATGGGAGCTCACTCCGTTACGTGGCGCTAGGGATTCGAACCGCCAAACTGCCAATCTTTCTGATCGACAAGCTCAGTGTATTAGCCACTGAGCTACTGGGTCATATTTTGGTTATACTTTAATATAACATAAATGTGCTTGGTAAACAACTACATAACTTTTGTCATAACTTTTTAATGTGTTTGTTTATTTCATAACTTTTGTGTCATAACTTTTTAATGTGTTTGTTTATTTCATTTGGGGATGCTATAAAATGAATGGGAAAAAGACTGGAGGGAAGCATGACCACTTTGGGGGACCTCCAGACAAGAGAACATTTGGAGATGTGAGATACCTGAATGTTCCAAGACAGAGCTCAGCTTATGCTTAAGAGTTTTTTTCAATTTACAGCAGTCATATTGTGATGACCTGGGGCATGGCGTAAAGGCCACACAGTTGAATAAGCAAGAAGAGTCCCTTTATTATCTTCAACTTTGCTCCCAATGTCCCCGTTACCTTTGGCTGGAGAAAAACTCTCCCAGGAACAGTCTTTATTCAGTCCGAAAACAAAGTACATACAAACTGTAAATAAAAATCCACACAAATCATGCTGCAGTAATTAACTTGACAGGGAAGGGGAAGGAATTGTAGACTTGAAAGCACAACAAAACTCACACACTTGGGAAGATCCCAGGAACCCAGATAAGCCTTGATGATACCAGATAAATTCACAGTTTGCTCCCAACAACTTGCTGTGTGCAGCTTCCCTTTTTAAACACTGTTTTTCCCAGCTGCAGCTAATGAAGGGAATCAAGGCCGTTTCCTCCCCCGTAAGCCACGCAACTCTCATTGCTCCCTTCTCCGTTCCTCCCTGCGTGCTGTAGGATGAAGAGGGGGTGGGCCTGAGTCTTCCTCTCCCTTGCTCTCCCTTGCCCCTGCTCTGCCCAGCAGAACTTTGCCCTTCCCCAGTTTCTTCCACAGCCACTGGAGTCACACTCCCACACCCTTGTCAGCTGCTCGGCCTCCCCCTCCGAATCAGATTACAACGGGCATGACACATATAAAAGCCTTGTTCCCTCTCTTAAAGACTTCAGATTGAGTATCTTGGACAAGTTCCACTTGAGTTCCTGCTTTCCCTACATGAGTGGGCCTCCCCTTACCTGTGACAGTGAGGTTTTATCAAAACATGTTCCTGAACTTGTAATTTCACAGGCAGAGAGAGTCAAGATCACGGCTCTTTGTTAAACTGGTTTTATTACCCACATTAGAAAACCACAAAGATTCAGCAGGTTTTGGCTCCAATCTATTTGTGGCCCAGATTCAAGTCCTACCTGAGCACCTAAATGAATGGAGAGTCATTTTCCTAGGGAAAAGAGCTGCCAACATCTGGGCATGGTTACTTCAGGGCCCTTGACCGTTTTCAGCCTGGATCTGTCTGGTCCTCACATGCACGCTGCTTACACAGTTTCCATAAACATTTTGATAACTGTTTCTTTTGTTGCTTCCTATTACATTACCCTGGTTATTTATTTAGATTTTCAAAACAAATACAGTCATTGTAAAGCTTTTTTGGATCTCCTATTACAGTAGGTTTTATTCCTTCATCTTGCTATTGTAACTGATGTAGTACGCATGTTGTCTGACATGCAGGCGTTTTAATTTTCCTCATTCACACATCAAAAAGGGCGTTAATGATATCACGTTCTTTTCTTTTTTTAAAAAAAAAAAAGAACACCTCTCCTCATGAAGGATATGTGCATCTTGTTCTGTGACTTTAAACCCATTTTCCCCGTGAGTGTACGTGGTTAATGGCATGTTCGAATACACCCGTTGCTAAATGCCTTGAAAGAACTGCTGGAAATGGAGTGGAATTACCAAAAAGGTACAAGCAAAAGTAGAAAACATTTCCTTTAAATCTTATTGTGCCAAAGAGAATCTACCATCCAGATTCTTCTTTTTTTAAAGGAAAATGGATATAATTTAGGCAATTTTTTTACAGTGCAAAGCCATTCTTCTTCCTCCTCCTCTTCCTCCTCCTCCTCCTCCTCCTCCTCCTCCTCCTCTCAGCAAACCCCTCTCCCTTCTATCCCTGATGATGTTGCCTAGTTGGGTAATGAAATGTCTGCAAGAAAATACCCAAGTTCAGAGAGCACTAAGGACCCCACACTTCACCTCTTCCCTCTCCTCTTCCTCCTCCACCTCTTCTTCCTCCTCATCTCAGCAAACCCCTTTTGCTTCTATCTCTGATATAATGAAATGTCTGCAAGAAAGCAATTAAACTCAAAGTACACTAAGGAGCCCACAAACCACCTCCTCCTCTTCTCTCTCTGATGCCATCAACTAGTTGGGTAGTGAAACATCTGCAAGAAAACAACCAAGCTCGGAGAACTCTAAGGACCTCACAATCCTCCTTTCCCTCCTCCTCTCTACATTTCATTTGCATGTGTTAATTCCAAGTGCTTCTCTCCTGAACTAAGGAACCTGTGGTTTCTCCCAACATAGCCCTACCCTAACCATAAGCCCACACTGTGGTTGAGATTTTAAGATAGCAGAAACACCCAGAAGGCTGGCGTTTTCCCATCCCTGCTCTTTTCAGTGCTCAACTTGCCATGGGTTATATTGTCTTGGTTACATATCATGCTCCTGGGTGTCTCCAGAAAAGGCTCCAGTTAGGAGGCCATCAAAGCCAACTCTTGGCTGAGTCTACTTACAAAATGAGAGCAGCCCTTCAGAATGTGATCAAATTATGTCGTAAAACGTGTGTGTGTGTGTGTGTGTTTTCTTCCCTTTTAGAAAATGAAATAACCTTTTATAAGGGACACGGTGGAAAGGTCAGCAGTTCGGCGGTTTGAATACCTAGCGCCGAGTAACGCAGTGAGCTCCCGTTACTTGTCCCAGCTTCTGCCAACCTAGCAGTTCAAAAGCATGTAAAAAAAATGCAAGTAAAATATAGTTCCCTTTGGTGGGAAGGTAACAGCGTTCTTTGCGCCTTCAGCGTTTAGTCATGCCAGTCATGTGACCACGGAGACGTCTTCGGACAGCACTGGCTCTTCGACTTTGAAACGGTGATGAGCATCACCCCCTAGAGCCAGAAACGACTAGCACAGATGTGCAAGGGGAACCTTTACCAGTAGAATAGATAGGAATAGAATAGAAATAGAAATAGAAATAGAAATAGAATAGAATAGAATAGAATAGAATAGAATAGAATAGAATAGAA